TTTAGAAAGCCTGTCTGCCCCCAACCCCCGCCTCCAAAGTCAAAATTAAATCAGAAACCAGAAGGTGGGGGTGTCAAAGGATGGAGTTTCAGGCATTCCCAGAAATTTATATAAAGAGATCAGTGAAGTGGCACATATTGCTAGTTGCCTGGAAGTAGAAGCTCATTTTGCCATTATTACCTTCAAGATGGAAAGGAAAGAAACTAAGTTCAGAATTTTAAAAAAAGCCAAATTTCTCATCATGGCATTGGGGTTTCACATACTGCATGCAATTTGTTACAGAAGAAATGGCCACATCTACCGTCTTAGATATTTGGAAGTAGAGCGAAAACTTTTAGTAAACTAAGATAAATCTCTCTAAGTCATATTTATAACAGAATTTCCCCCCAATCTTCAAAAGAAATTTTCTTAGGGCAGCTTTATAGAAGTTAACCATTTAAAAACAAATACCTAAACAAGAAAACCCACAAACAAATATTGGAAAAGTGAAAATCCAATTTTACAGGAAATGAAATGAATAAAAAGCTTTTGGCAAAAAATTAGACACAACACTTACAAAAAAATTCTCTGATCGCTCTTGAGAAGGCTGGGACTTATTTGCCTCTTTAACAGGCCTAGGATGGCAGGGATATCTAGTGAATAATCTTGTGAAATTACAGGCAGTCCTTGACTTACAACGGTTTATTTAGTGACTGTTCAAAGTTATATCAGCACTGACAAAAGTGACTTATAACAATTGTTCAGTTACAACCTTTGAAGGATCCCTGTACTCATGTGATCAAACTTCAGATGCTTGGAAAACGGTTCATACTTATGACCATCGCTGTGTCCCAAGGTCATGGGATCACCTTTTGCAACCTTCTGACAAGCAAAGTCAATGGGAAAGCTAAATTCACTTAACAACCAGGTTACTAACTTATCAACAGCACTGATTCACTTAACAACTGAGGCAGGAAAGGTTCGATGGCAAAACTCACTTAACAAATGTCTCACTTAACCAATCAATTGGGCTCAATTATGGTTGTAAGTCAAGGTCTACCTATCTTTATGCACAGGTAGGGTACCATGATTCATGGTGGTGCAGAACACAGTATTCTCACTGCTCATTCCAGGAGTTTGATTCTGACCAGCTCAAGGTTGACATGGCCTTCCTTCCATCCTTCCGAGATCTAAAATGAGGACCCAGATTGTTGGAGGCAATATGCTGACATTAGTAAATGCTCAGAGAGCACTGTAAAACATTGGGCAGATGTATAAAAGGCTAAGTGCTATTGCTGTTGCTATCCCCAACAGAATTTCTTGAACAGGAAAGCCTTCTCTTGCTGGGGAGGAAGTCGTGAACAGAACCTTTGGTTATCTGTTGCTGTCTTTGTGTCCTTTTAGGGATTTCTGAGACTCATCTGGCTGTCCATTGTTAAAAATGTCAGTGATGTTGGTCTAGAGTAGGGGTATCCAACTTTGGCAACTTTAACACTTGTAGATTTCAATTCCCAGAATTCCCCAGCCAGCAGGGCTAACAGGGGACTCTAGAGGGATATTCAGATGGATCCATTCATACATTCTATAAAAATCACTGAGCACCCAGCTTAAAGCTGAAATAGTAATAGAATATTCAGCCACTTTTTAAAATACCCTTGAAAAAACCCCTGAGGAAAGAACAGATTCAGTATTTTAGCAGATTCAGTGAGATTCCTTTGACTAGGACTTTCATTTCAAACTGATTTCAAAATTAGAAGCTGTAATACAAATTTCAATAATACACAGGAATCTAGAATTTTTGAAGGGCTACAGGTTCCTATCATGAAGCAGAATGAAACCAGAGCTAATTATCTGGAATAAAAACGGAGTTCATGACAACTTCAAAGAAAACCATAACCCCACTTCAGACAATGAAGTAGATTGACTACAGATTCACAAAACTGAAAGCCACAGTGTTGCCTTACTCCACACATCCTCTCAAAAATTTATTTCAAAGATCTCAGAAAAAAAAAACCAAAAATTCTAAGTGTGGGACAGGAAGCATAATTAGCTAAATCTCTCAGCTTCAATTTTCCTCACATTTTTAACAACCATTGCATTTTACAGATCCACATTACAATTTCCTCCAAGATTTGCAGAATTAAATCAACTGGGAGCAGTAACATTCCTTTTTTAAAAAAAATTTCCATCATCTTTCCTCCTGTGGATAGGATATCCCAGTCAAGGAAGTCATACTTTGCTTTGGCTTTCTCACAAGCACAATCAAATGTTCATTGGCAAATATGGTTCATATTATTTAAATGAATTATTCCAGAATTGATGGGGTATGTTTGTGTGTGGGTAGCGCATAATCAAGGAAGCTACAATTGAAGTGGCAAGAGAGGTAGATGTTGAAAGGAAGCTACTACATAGATGGCTATCAAGTCACTCAAAAAAGAAAGGGGGAGAATCAGGATTGGAAAGACAAGCTTACAAGAAATACTTAAAAGAGCTTCTCATCCACCTTTTTTTAATTTCATGTACCAAAGGCAAAACAAAAGTGGGGATTTTTTTTTTATAGGAAACCCACACCTTCTTCTCCAGAGAGCAAGAAAGTATCCATGTACAGGGATTACTGAAGAACACCATCAAATTATTTTCTCCAAGTAGAAGCACATAAAATCAGCTCTGGGAGGAAGGTTATCACTTAGGATGAAATAGGATGGAGTCCAGAGGAGAGGGAAAAGACTTATCAAGCTCTCCTCTAGGCTAGGGGCTTTTACTGAGAATGAAAAAAAAAACAACCATTGAATCTAGAGACATCTATGTCCATGTGGACAGAACTCATTTCCTATTGAGTATGTTTTATCTGAAAATTTGCACCAGGTAAGAAAACGATTCTGATGACCAAGATAGAACCGAATGGAGCATTGGTTTAAGATGAGGCTTTGGAGCAAAAAACAACAACAGCACCCTGATTACTCCCAGGCATAGGTCTAACAGTGTCAAAGAAGAAAGTGGGAAGAGGAAACGAAAACGGGGGGGGGGGGGGGGGGGCTTTTTTCCTCCAGTGAATGACATTCTGGACAATGCCAGAGGTGGGAGACTTTGCAAGTCGATTTGAATCTGAAAGACTATCTTTGTTTTAAAAACATATAAAACTCAGTTTGAAGGAGGAAAATGGGGAAGAAAGAAATTTTGGCTGTCAAGCTCCATCGATTGACTTGTCTGTACTTTTGATATGAGTGATTTACCCCTAACAACAAATAAGCACCTCGAGTAAAAAAAAAAAAAAAGATTGCTAACAAAATCTTTGCCTTCTGGTTGCTTTGCTTCCTCTTTATGAAGAATGAGGAGGGTTGCCGCTCTCTCTCTAGCCACCTCTGCCCATTCTGACATCTGCCTTGCTTTTTCATCCATCATTTCTGGGTAGGATGATTTCCAAATCTGCTAAAACTGAAAACACTCAAAATTTAATTTCATACATTGGTCCTTAAGCAGTTATGAAATTGACCAATGAACTTCTCTTCAAATTAGTATGATACACGTTCAAAATGTGGAAACCAGAGTTAAATGGCCCTTGGTTTGCCCTTGGAAAAAAAATAAGACATAATTTTACTCAAGCTTTTTTTTTTTAAGCAATTCTGATTTCTAATGAAACAAGGTCAAGTTCTAGTCCAGAACCCAGAGTTGTAGATGTTCCTGTGCCTTATTAAATCCTTAGAGAAAATATGCAACAAAGTTTTCATCTCATTTTTTAAGATTCATAATGATTTGGGAGAGTATTAAATTCCAAGAATTGCTGACAGTAAATTAGCTCCCTGCTTTGCCTACCTACACCAGTTCAGAATGCAGACAGGAGGAAAGAGCTGGATGAGTATTCCACATTTCGTTTTCATTTTGCTGTAAAAATTTGCACATTTACATAATTACAGCACTTCCCTGTCTTGAACTCACAGAATGGCCTGTCAGATTTACAATAGCTAGGTCCAAATTCCACACCTAATTGATGTACAAGTATCTAACACATGCACACACAATTTAAAGAGTTTGCAAATGGAGAACATATTTTGTCCAATTACGCAGATTATGTGTTTTACCAGCTTTCTCATCACTGAATCAATACTTCCAATTTACAGGAAACATTTCACACAGTGTCCCTAAACACCCTGTCCGTCATAGCACCATTCAACTATGCATGTCTAAAAATAAAGACAGATAACTTAAGCAGATAACTATTTGGCCAGGTTCATCATGCAATTTTCCTCACTTGCTCAGGAGAAAATTCAGCAGGATTTGCTTGCCAGGGGTGTGCATAAGATTTCCAGCTTCGTTCATAGAGATGTCATTCCCCATTACAATTGGGAATCTACATGGAAATAAATTGCATGGGAATCTATACATGCTTTAAAGTTCTAAGTGCTTGGGATTGTGGCCTTAAGATGATGAGGTTGGCACCACAGTATTCATCCTTCCGCAAACTCTTTCTCAGGCATCTGACCTCTGACAAGAGCCTCGGTAGCCAAAACAGTTCTAAATCTTGTTCCGGATTTAGCCTTGATTTCAACTGCTTGAAACACGATCCTACGTTACCTTCCAAGTTCAGCTCACTTTATAGCAACTTCCCAATAGGTTGCAACATCTCGTCCCCCCACACTAAACAAGAAATCGGATGCGGCCAGCCGTAAAGCCTAGTTTAACACGTCTTGGTAATTTTGATACACCAGAGGGATGAACGCCCCTTGCCTCTTTTCCACCCGTCAGGTGGAAGCGAACAGAACTGAAATACGTTTGTGATTACTACAAATAATCATTCCGTCTCCTGAATACAAAACAGCCCTCGCCTTCCTCCCCACACCCTTTCCAATTCTTCTTCCAAATGTATTGCAAAGTATTCTGTGTGCGCCCGAACTAAAATATTCCGCTTAAGGGAAAACGCAACCCATTCGGAGTTTGAATCCTAAACCCATCTTTCGCCGCCTGGGCCGCGCAAGACTACACAAATCGGAAGCCCCTAAGAGATCAGGGATCCCCCTACTTACCTGGAGGATGTTGGGGTGCCGCAACCGCTGCAGAAGGACCATCTCCTTGACGATCTTATAGGAGGCCAGCCTGTAACAGTCTGCCAGGGACCCATAGAGCTTGACGCAATTGTCGATGTCGTGCCCCCCAAAATCGACGGACTTCAAGGCCACCGCCAGGCTCTGGTTGAGCACCGCTTTGTAGACCGCTTTGGTGTAGCCAGAGCCCAGGTAATGGACCTCGGTCACGTTGCTAATGTCCCGGCAGCCCAACCGAAGCGGCCCGAGAGAGAGTTGCAGCTTGGTTTCGGGGACCCAGGGCTCCCCGACGAGGCCGGCCGAACTGAGCTGGAGCCCCGGTGGGCTGCGGTCAGTGGGCGAGGCGGAGAGCCTCGGCGGCGCCAGATCCATGAGCCGCCTCTCCAGAGGTCGCATCGCCGGCCGGGTTTTAGCACCGTCTCCCGCCGCTCCGCCGACTTCTCCGGGCTGCTGCCTCTGTTGGTAGCGCAGCACCTCTTCGTAGCGCTCTCGGGTCTGCCGGGCTAAATCCCAGCGCCGGTGACGGCCGCTGCTTCTCCTGGCCGCCGCCGCCTCCTCCTCCCACGACCTGTCCCGCGGCGAGCCCGCCAGCGAGTGCGCGATGCCCGCCTTTTGCTGCCGGTGTTGCTGAAGGGGATCAAAGGCCGGGATGAAGAAGAGGTTGAGCAAAGTGCCCAGCAAGAAGGACAGGCAGAAGCCAGCTGCCACGGCCAGCTTGTGCCGCTTCATTGCCCCGCAAGCGCCAGCGCGCGGATTTCGTCCTGCCGGGCTCTTCCTTGCCTTCGCGATCAGCTTCGCCCCGGGCTCGCTTGCACCATTCCAGATGACCAGGAGACAGACAGACAGACAGACGGAGGGACAGATGTGGGAGGTGGGGGACAGAGAGAGACCCCGACCAAACCCTCGTCTTCACTCAGCCCTGCTGCCTCGCCACTCCTCGGCGAGGCGAGCTGAAGCCCCACATGACACTTGCCTCCTGCCTTGCCTTTATAAACCCGCCCTCGAAGTCTTATTATTAGGTACACCGCGACGAGGAGGGGAAAGGAGAGTTTTTACATACGCCCCTCCACAAAAATTAAAAAAAAAATTCCAAGTGTGCTACATTCATTGTGACGCCAGCTGATTGACGGCTCGGCCTCGCCAGTGGAAGAGGGAAAACAGCAGAGAGGAGAGCTGGGAAATGAAGTCTTCTGGTCACAGGTGGCGGCCAGAACACAACGGGACTGAGAACTACAACTCCCAGAAAAAGCAGCCTCGGGGGCTCCGGGCGCCAGAGGCGGCAGGAGCTCGATAACGGTGTAGCCCTCCCAAAGGCAGTCGTGAATGGAACGGGACGGTAGGGAAAGTAATATCCCGCTTGCGGGATCGAAGTCGAGTCGCGGATCATCGAGAAGGCAGAACAGGGGAAACGAAGCCTTTGGTCGGGCAAAAAGATAAGGAGCCTTCAAGGGCATCGCTCGCTAAGGTCCCAAGAGGACTTGACGTTTGCCCTCCGCGTCTTTCCCAGTCGCTGTTTCTAAATCGATCCCGTGGAGAGGTGCGGGAAAGCCGGAGGGAAAGTGAAACCAAGTGGCATTTCTCAGCCTCGTTTCAGGACCTTCCAAAAGTCCTGTTTATCCGAGTGTTTATTTCCATGTATGCATTATGGTTTTTGCCGCCCTGGGTTTTGGCGAGTAGTTATAGACCTGCATTCCGTTCACACGACCAAACAGTTCCGTTTTGACAGGCTTCGCAGCGTCACTTACAGACGTTCCGTTAGAGTTTAGACAGAGGCGTAAACGTTTGGCGCCCGCGTTTTAATGACTCGATTTTTTAATAGGCCACCTTTCCAAAAAAATAAATAAAAATAAAACCTGTACCAACTCCAAACAGAGTAGAAATTAGAAGAGGCGCGTTTGATTTCTTTTATTTATGAAAAGCTTTCCCGTTTGGGAGAAGTGGGGGGGAAAGTATATTTCTTTAACTCATACTGCCCATCATGAACCTCAAGGACATGTGCTTGTACTTGTGATATATGTCACGGAGTTGAGCCTTTTTTTCCCCTTAAGTCCAAATGACCGAATTGCCTCCCACGAAAGTGATTTTTTTTTCCCCATGCCCTTCGAAATGCACAGCGAAGGAATGTCAATCAATCCCTGACATTGGTCGCTCTACGGGGCTGACAAACTGATCGATTTGCCCGGGAAAATCAGCTGCGAGTGTAATCCCTCTAAACTAGGCATTTTAGTAAAATGAGAGCAACCTCAAGCGGTAAACACCGGTAGGGGAGGCTCCTCTGTGATTGTATTCACATCACAGGCTTAGACAGAAACATTCATAGGGCCAAGCAACTGCATTTGCATAATTTATGAAACTTGTTCAGTTATAACTTTGGTTTGAGCGGGGGAGGAGGGGAAATCCTAGACCATTTTGTTAATCAATTGTTTGAATAATATGTGAAAACTCGAGAAGAAAATCTGTTGTTCTTCTGCATGTGGTTTTATTTTTGTTTGCCTCCCAGAGTTGATTGCAAGGGGGGGGGGGTGCATTAAATTTGCATAATAAAATAAACGGATTCAGTGGTAAGGTAGGTCAACGCCCCATGTGAATGAATGCAAAGAAGTAAATGTCATTATTAAATGCCATTCATGTATTAAAGCATAATAGAGATAAGTTCGGGTCTTTTGGTAAGGGCGGAGTACCCGAATTAATGTCATCATTAATATCATTACATGAACTCTAATAATAAATAGGGGTAGTTTCAGGTTGTGGAAATCATAACAATTTTTTTGTTGAACCCTAGGACATGATTTGGCTATCTCTTTTCAAACATGCTTTTCAGCCCATTCCATTCTGTTTGGCTTAAAGGGGCCCTAAATTTCTTTCCTGAAGTCTTAACGTTAAGGTTTTAAATTTTACTCAAAGAATAAACATAAGAACGAATTGATATTTTAAAGCCATGTAATAAAGGCCATTTCCCTCCTCTTCGTCTTCCTTCCCTCTTTCTTCAAATAACTGCAGAAAATCGGTGTGTGTGTGTGTGTGTGTGTGTGTGTGTGTGTGTGTAAAGTAAGCTTTCTTCTGACAAGATATTTAAATCAATGGGCTTCTCTATTTCGCCACTAGAGCATAACCGAAGGGGGCAGGACCGGATAAAAATCGGATTTTAAATGCACATGCAAGCCCCTTTGAAACGGGTTGATTAATCGCAGCGGCTCGCCGATTACCGGGCCAAAGGTGCTTAAAGCAAGCACGTACAAACATTGCTCAAGGTGGATTGCGAAGTTTGTGGGGCGGGGAGAAACAAAGCTTTATTTGAGCGCCTTTATCTCCTGGGAAGGTTCATGTGAGAAATTTACAGCTCAGTTTTCCACCTATAATCTGACGTCGCCCGAGGCCAAAGGGTTTTAAGTCCCATGGAAGGGGGGGGGGGATGTGTATATAAGGAGGAATATGTCGAAATTCATTGGACGGCGTGGTAAATTTAACGGATCGACGAGGGCTTCAAGGAATCTCTCTGCTAGCTTGCCTCACCCCGAGCTTCTGGGGTGTGCGAGTCTCCAACGCTCATCTTTCCTGGCCTGCTGGCTGGGGACGGTGAGCCTTGTGATCCCACACACCTCATGGGCATCTGTGGGCTGGGCGCAGAGCAATTTCACCACCGGGATTAGAGTTGGGAGCGGGTCTACAAACAGTGGACAGTTTTCGGGGCGGGGGGGTTTAAATGTAAAGAGACAAAAAAATTAGGGGCGCTCCGTCTCAGTTCCCCGACTTCCTCTCCCGGTTCACAGGCCTGGACGCGATGCAGATTTAAAATATTTTTTTTAAAAAAAAATCCCCTTCTCCCCCTGAGTTTGCCCTACCCCTCATTAAAGTCCTCAGCCCGGAGCTCTGTGTTGTGGCTACCGCGGGAGGGATGAAAGGTCCCCGCCGAGATCTGTGGAAGGAGGGGAAGGGGTTCAAGCAATGCGCCCCTCCTGCATCTCCCGGACTCGGCGTGAGGTCGCCGCAGCTCTGCTGGAGACTAGCCGAAGCCTAGTGCTAATGGTGTGCTTATCTACCCTGGGCCGACGCTGTTAGCAACTAATTAACAAATGAAATTAGTCCCAGAAAGGGCGCAGATGGAGGGAGGGAGGGAGGGGAGAAAGATCCAGTTCCAGAGAGAGGGAGGGAATGGAAAGGGAGGGAGGGAGGGGAGAGACAGAGAGAGAAGGAGGGAGGGGGAGAGAGATCCCGTTCCAGAAAGAGGGAGGGAGAGAGAGATATATCCAGTTCCAGAGAGAGGGAGGGAAGGAGGGAGAGAGAGATCCAGTTCCAGAGAGAGGGAGGGAGGGGAGAGAGAGAGAGAGAGAGAGAGAGAGAAGGAGGGAGGGGGAGGGGGAGAGAGATCCCGTTCCAGAAAGAGGGAGGGAGGGAGAGAGAGAGATATCCAGTTCCAGAGAGAGGGAGGGAAGGAGGGGGAGAGAGATCCAGTTCCAGAGAGAGGGGGAGGGGGAGAGAGATGCAGTTCCAGAGAGAGGGAGGGAAGGAGGGTGTGTGTGTGTGTGTGTGTGTGTGTGAGAGAGAGAGAGAGAGAGAGAGAGAGAGAGAGAGATCCAGTTGAAATTGCTTTGGATTGAAAGAAAGTTTTAGCTGGAGAGCGCCATTCGGGTCACCGGCACAAAGCAAGCAAATCGCGGCAATTAAGGCACCATTGGGATTGTCTGCCAGAGGGAAGAGTAAAAGGGCGGGCAAGCAAGAACCGCTGCCCGCCTAATATCTTGATTAAAGGCAGCTCTGGATCCGGCGATTTTCCTCGCCGGATCCCTTTCGTGCCGGTACTAACTGTATAAAAGCACAAGCTGTCACAAACATCCCTAACGCGGAACGTGTCTCTTCTGCAAAGGAGATGCTGGTGCCCGAGAAAAGACAAGCAGGAGGTTTTATTTCGTTGTGATCTTTTTAGCCCGATCTGTGTCCAATGATGCTTACTACTGGCCCGGTGTACTTTTGTAACAGCCCTTAACTAAATTTGGCTGGGAAAATAATGAAATGCATGTTTTCCTCTTCCACCAGGCTCTTCATTCTTTCTTTCATCCTCCAACAAGCCAGTAAAAGCTGCTTGAAATACCTCCCTGTTCTAAAAAGCGACCTTTTCCTATGTTGGGATTGCCACTCCATAGTTTATCAATAGGATTATGGGAGACATTGATCGCCTGAGTTAGTGTGTTTCAACCTCAACAACTTTGAGCTTTGTGACTTCAACTCCCACAACTGCCCAGCCTAACTCTCATACCCTCTGTAGCCTTCTGAAAAAGTAGTAGACACTTCCTTCTATAGGTAATAATGATCATGATGGTTATAATGGAATAAGAAGGAACCCTAAACCGGCAAATATTTTTTTCTTTACTAGTCATAAAAATCTACAGTTAAAAAAACTACACAGTAGAAACAGGTTCACAAATGACTAAGCCAAAGGATTGGAAAAGGGATAATTCTCAAGTGTAACCAAGAAATATTGTTGTATGTTTCCTTATATAAATACAAATGTTAATAAGAGAGTTTAAATGGATGAATAATTTAAAATAGGAGGATTGATAGGAAATAGGAGAAATTTGAGGAGACCTTCAAATTTCTAGGTTCTATCATATTCCAAGATCTAAAATGGACACCTAACATCAAAAACATCAACAAAAAAGCTACAACAAAGAATGTTCTTTCTGCACCAACTCAGAAAGCTCAAACTGCCCAAGGAGCTGCTGATCCAGTTC